ATAATGTTATAATAATGTGTGCCTGTACTTGAGGATATTAAATTACAACGCCAATACTAAGAACAAATTACAAAGAAGCATTAGGACATCTCTACTCTTTATGGTGTATTGCATTGCAAATGTTTTTTTTTTTCTTCATAGTTGGCTAAATATGAATATCAAATGCCACTTGTCCTTGTGTATCTTTTAACATAACAATGATGCCATGTCTTTATGCACCATACTTTTAATGTACACAAACAAATACCAGTTTTGGTCTGTGTATCACACAAACTAGCAATTGGCTTCAGAACACTTATATAGCACAAGTCATATAGAGTACAGACACAACTTGTCTGAATACATAAATTGTTTGTTCACAATTGAACTCCACAGAATAAGATACTTTGTAATTTAGGGCCAAGTGAAATCCATTTTATTTTCTCCTAAATTCTGTTTCTCATTTTTTTTTTTTTTTATGGATATCATCAAAAATAATGTCTAATGAAATGAGTTAATAAAACTTTAACAATTTAATCAAGCTTTAAAAATGTTATCAAATGAAAATATAACAATTAATTTACAATAAAACATTGCATGTTTATTACTTGCCAAATAAGATGCTGCACAACAGAACTACATAAATTAAAACATAATTTAAAAAGTAAAAAGAGTAAAAAGAACCTACATTAATCGACTTTAAAAATACCAATGATGAGAACACTCTTCTAACATTTTTTTTTTTTCACACCGTAGTAAATCTTCTGGTGTTAGCTGTTCACGTAAACCCACCATTCGACCCATGGAAACAAATTGGTGGTCAGCAGCTAATAATACTTGTGACAGACTGTAAACAACCCCAAGTTTTGCTAAGACATCAGAAATTCCTCAAAGCAGTGTGAAATCTCTGCAATATTCCATGTAGCTGGAAAACAAGCCTTTGTCCAGCATCTGAACGCTGGTGATGTGAAAATTAGAATCATTAAACATAACAGTCAGATATCTTTGTTGTTAGCTTAGTAAGATGTTAACTTCCCTACTTACAAAACCTATTTAAACTACTTTTTTCCCCCTCACAAATATTCAAATGTATCACAACTAAACAAAACAACTTAATTATTTTTAAATTGCATTTACATTTATACATGAACTTCATTTACAGCAAATTGAGAGGACTCGCAACCCTGGGTCATGTGATTGTGATTGTGAATAAAATTTATTTGGAACAACTCTACGTATGGTGCCAAATGAGTTACTGTACATCACCTATGCTCTTCTGAGTTGCTGACTATGTGCAGTCTTCAAAATCATTTACTTGATTCTATAACACATACGATTCTGCCTTTGAGGAATAGGTCTACTGTATATAGTCAGTAGACAGAGGCAGCTTGCTAGGTTTTGGAACAGAGCTGCATATTGACGTGTGAAAGATCAGGATGCAAGACGTCATTGTTGATCTTGAGTCTCTCACATGCCAATGTGAAAATTATCAGTTTGCATGGGACGCACTGACAGACGAATTAAACCAGGAGAACCATCTGGGAAGGATGAAAGCAAATAAGATGAACAAGTCAGAATAAGAACATATACAACTAATTAACACCTGTTTTTAGACATTATGTTTGCCTATGATGTGGCATATTAATATACTCAGGCATTTTGGATCATTCATGTTTGGTTACACATTAAAAAAGATGTGCTTAGTGCAGAATAAACAGGATGAAGGACAAACCAGCGTAAGAAAATATCCCTGGAAAAGAAACCGAATGGCTGCACACACATACACGCCATAACGAAGAAGCTAAAACACAAAGCAAACACATAGGCAGAGTGCAGACTTGGCAGCACAGAGGTGCTTCCCACCTCATGTTTCATGAGCAATAGTCACCGTCTCACAGACTCTGACATAAGCAGGGGATTTTTTCATTCCGTTCCTCCTTAAAAATAGCCTGGAGGACAGCTTTAAGCAATCAGTGTATGAGGAGTCTCAACAACAGAGTCCATACGAATCTAGACCATGTCTTGCACAAACTCTGTCTCCCTTGCAAACATCATCTCTGAGGAACAAACCCATATGATGAATTCTCATAATTTAACACATCATGAGAGGAATCTGTCGGGCCCCTTTGAGATGCCAGTAAATTTCGCCTATGAATAGAATAGAATAGAATTTACTGCAATATGACAATGGTCAGTGGAATTTGTTGTTGTGATTTTCAAACAATGCGATTACAGAACATTCATTTTTATAATAGGGATATAATAAAAAACAATGATCAAGGAAACAAGGAAATGGCTCATGACTGGTTTCTTATGGAGTTTGAACTATGGATTGTTACTAACAGATTTGATGTCACCAATTTGGAAAGAGAGCGTTTAACAATGCATGATTTGAGAGGCAGAACAACATATCGAGAATGCTGTGGATGTGTGAAACTTCTCAAGTGCACTTGAAACAGTCTGTTAAGACTATGTCTCTGACCACTAACTCTTCATAAACTCACGAAGATCTGACACACAACTATGTAACCATGGGTTAAATTTGTTGCATATTTCCAAATAATTTATTATGATCCACAAACAAAAGTAGAGAGATCAATGAAAATAAAATCACACATATATACAAACTACAGTATTTGCTCTGTAACAAATAATAGATTAATAAGACTACAGACTGCCCATTACATTTACCCAAAACAAATTATATTTCATGTTTAACCACTATAGAGACATCAGAGACAGCGGCAAATTCCTGAAGATCTGTCCGAGGTAAGGTTCATACAGTACATTAAAGTACATTGTCACCTAAAAACTCTTAAAACTACATTTTGTGACACAAAACAGTATTATTTATAAAATTATAGTGGATTTGAGCGTCCACCGTGACACTCGCTGTGAGAAATACTGCAAGTGGAGTGATACAAACGATGAAACGGCTGGAGTTCCGTTATCACTAGAATATCGCACTCCTGGAAAAGGCTCTCAGCCAATCAGATTCGAGAATCAGAAAGAGATGCTGTATATGTAAGGGATAATGCATGGCTAGCTGTGCATTAAACGATTTTTTAATGCACGATGTGGAGGCCAAGAACGACCCGACGCGAAGCGGAGGATGGTTGCCTCTGCGGAGATTAAAATAATTTAATGCACAGCTAGCCATGCATTATCCCGCTTATACCATGGTCATTTGCCAGCATTGACAAATTAAAGCTGTTAATTATGTTTGCAGTGCACTATTTGACCGAAAGGGTAAAAATTATGTTTTTTTTAATCAGTTACAGCTCGTTAGCTCTAGCATTCTGCCCGCTTCAAATCAGATACAGAGATAATAGTACGGTAAGACCACATTTATTTGAATTAATTAGAGCATTTATTTGAATTAATTATCGATCAAGAGAGAGAGTGAAAGAGAGAGAGATGACAGTTGTGTGTGTGTGTTATCTGCATCTGTGCATCTCTCTCTACAAACAATAAAGCTGTGTTTAGTTACTTCAAAAACAGCGATTTTACCACCTCGTTGCTGAGGAATATAATGTAGCGATCCAGAATCTATGCTATTTTATTCATTACAGTCGTGGGGCAGCATTGACAAGTTTCTGTGTGTGCACTGTGCAGTGCGATCTGAGATCTCCGACCTCTCTCTCTCTGTGTGTGTGCGAGTGATGTGTGTGTTTGCGTGCATCAATTAGCGCATTAATATAGAATGGTGATTACACTGACTTGGAAAACATAAAAAAATAAATATATATAATATATACATATATATATATCGTTTTTATTTTGGTATTTTCCGTTTAGCAATTTTGTTGTTTTTCATTTTTATTAGTCTAAATAGTTTTTTTAATGGTTATAATAGTTACTATAACTATAGTTAACTATAATAACCCTGATCGCATCTGAACATTTGTGGATCACTTCCTGTGCATTTATGAATCACTCAAATGCTTTTGTGGATTTTTAAACATTTCTAGCGTCAAGACAGCTGGGCTTCACCCACCGTCTACTCAAGCCAGTCAGATAACAACAATCGCAGCACGTTCTAGCTACAACCAAAATAAATTGGTAATGTTTTCTTTGAAAATGTAATTTAATTTATTTATTTTATGAAACTCTCCACATTTATTTGAGGATCGCAATTGATTTATTTGGAAATTAAACAAATCTAACCCCATACAGAATACACAGATGCTATGCATGCAGTACACTGTTTGTGTAGAGAAACACAGTGGCTCTTTTATGCCAAAAATGAAATTCCTAACCCCCTAACAAAAAATAAACCAACATTCCTCAAAAAAAAAAAGGCGAGTTTTCTATTGGATGCTTGTTTTTGAGGATGTTCCGCAGCAGTACTGCCTCTGTTGCTAATTGTGCAATCCTAAAATCGGCACCAGAAGGAGGACACTTTTAAGCGCAGACGCAACGCTTATGTAATTCACCAACACTCTCTCTTGAAAACGCTGGAAGCCCCACAGGTCAAATCTGGCTGCTGAGTCGACCACGCATATCAATACCAGCTATCTGATTTAACTAACCGCACTAAAGGAAGTCAAAACAGCTGAAAGCTCTGTTGCACTGCTACTTCAAAGATATTCAATCATAACAGAGCCATTGTTCTGCCTTGTTGTGTGCATTTCAGAACAACCAGGTGTAGCCTGCAGCTACCACATATTTGGTTCACTGGAGATTTGAGAACAATTTTGTGGGGGTAAGAGTGACCCTAAAGCAAGCATAGACACTTCACTAAAACAAGACTACTTTTATTTGTCAGATTTGGTTAAATATGGTCTCTCTCTACAGAGAAGATCTAAACTGAATGCATCATCTTGCATGGGTGTTGCTTTAATGTTGTAAAAAAAAAAGACTCTTTTTGTACATTCCTGTCTTCTTACCAATATTTATAACTACAGTATTTGTACAGTTAGTCTACTAAGCTACTGTTCTGTAACATTATATTTATATACAATTCTCTATATTTAGAAAGCAGGGTAATGACGTCATATAATTATAATCTTAATACGCACCGCGAGTTCTGATGGTTCAGGAAGGAAGTCAGCATCCTCTCCGAAGATAAAGTCAGGGGGCAGTTCTGGGTCTATGGCATTGAAGATAATGTCCCCTGTAAGAAGAAAGGGTTAATCACGATGATAATTCCTTAATAAATGACATACTTCATTGATTTACATCCAGTTCAAGCCAAATCACATTTGTAAACTCTTTATGAAGCAGCACTGTAGAATTCCACCATGTAAAAAGCAAATCTCACTGTGTCAAGAAGATATGCACTTTAGATGCCTACGTGATATTCACACACTGTATACTTTCCATGTAAGCTCTTTACATAAAAAATAATGGTAGCATGGTTGTTTATCGATGCATAATCTTATTAGACCGAACAACTAATGTCAGTATCAAAGACTATTTTGTTTCCACGGCATAATGGCTCTTGTAGCAACACCAACTCTCAAAGGGCATTATAGTACTAATGGACATTAGCAAGCCACTGAATAAGCTACATTTTCAATCATGGGTATAATGTTCCGATATAAATATTGTTGGACATCATTATGATGGGCTTTACCTGTATGCTACAGGTAAAAAGGTACAAATTCTATACTTCAAAAAATATTTGTCATGTTCCATTAATCCCTTAGAAAGCACACAAACAAGCTACTAGGATTTGGTACCTTTCTGGGAACAAAGATGGGTACAAAAACATACCTCACCAGACCGTGTCAAAGTACATAGGCTATTAATTTCTTTATCATTATTAAGAACTATTTCACAACACAACAGTGACAAGGATTTTTAACACCGTAAAGGACTGAACATATGTTTCTCTCATTCAAGATATACACAAAAAGTTCTTGCAAGTGTCATGAATACCTCAGATTTAAACAGGTGGAAAAACAAAATTGATTATTAAAGCTATTAATAATGATGTAAAATCTCACAGTAAGCCACAGAAGATGTGGTGAAGCACAAGATATCTTTACTTCTGGTACTTTTTTTGTGCTTCTCGGAGCTTCAGTAGCCATTCACTTTTGAAGTATTGTATAAGTTAACAACTCAACATCCGTGTTTCAAGCGACATTGTTTCAAGCATTGTTTTTGTAGCTTGCTTAGCTCCCATCGATGTTCCTATCAAACATGACTCTTGCATTATCAGCACATGATTTTCTTGTTTAACACTGAAAAGCTGCTTTGACACAATCTGTATTGTACAAAGCGCTATAGAAATAAAGGTAACTTCACTTGACATGATTTTAGACTATTGCATGTTCAAATAATTTCTATTTATACAGCCATTCTTTTTCTCTTTTTTTTCATACTTCTGCTCCTCAGTCTTTTCCATGGATAAAAAAAAACAGAGCAAAACAAACACAAGGCAGTAATTTTCCACAGATGGAGCACAAGGGAAAAGCGCCTGGATGATGTTTGTCGTACATCTGTCACATCTGATGGTATCTTGGAAAAGCTGCCAAATACCTAAAAAGAGATAGCAACGGACTTAATGTTGGGCAATAACGCAACACTACCCACATTTACACCCTGAGGGTAGTCAAAATGGGTACTACACAAAAAATACCATACCTGTACCAACTGTTGCAAACTCTTGTGAGAAGCAGAAAATCGGAGGATGTTGTTTAGTGACTGGAGTGCTCTCTTTGCATGCAAACAACAGTCAGCACTCCTGCCAGAGCTTTAGTATCACAAGTAAACAATCGGCATTTTTCCTGGAAGAACAGCAACAAAATGAACCACCTAGCAATGAGAGCAAGCTACACTGTAAAAAAATTATTGTGATTTTAACAGTAAAAGACTGTAAAATTGCTACAGTAAAAACCTGTTAATTGGTTATCAGTAACTTTCCATACTATATACGATGCATTACTGTAATTACATTTAATTACATTCATTTGTTTTGGGAAGTGAAAAAGAAAAAGTCATTGTATAATTTAGTGAAAAACCGTGAATTGACACTCCCAGAATTCCCTGCATGACACTTCATATTTTATGTTTTTTCATTTAAATAACTGTTTCTTCTTAGTTTTTTCTTATCGGTTGTGTACATTAGGGTTTTATCTGACATCTAATGTTGTTAAATTAATGTTTACTGAATTATTTCAGTATCGTGTGTTACCATGATGGTGTTTAGTGTTTGTGTGAATGACACTGTGCACCTTCTATATATATACTGTATATATATTAGTATTTCCCTTCTCGGCTTGAGGAAGAGCTGTTTGTGATGAGCTTTTATTCATCATGTGACTTTCTCATCACCACCTGTTTTTGGTGGTTATCAGTATTACAATGGTTCAAAACAGATATTAGTACTTCAGTATGCTGGTTTATTAACATTACATCAGTTAATGAAATACGTTTTTTTATTGTGAATTTAAGTTAAGTCTGTAAACCCTAAAATGTTGCTACCATATTTTTAACGGTGAAGTTCTGGCAACCACAGCTGCCGGTATTTTACCGTAAATGTCACAGATTTTTTTTACAGTGTACAGTTAAGAAATGTTAAGATATTTCGTTGTTTTTTTCCTCTTCTCTCTGTTTCTCCTGACTCTACAGTAGCTCTAAGTAAGCTGCTCTACGTAAAAAAATGTATTGAGAAAATTAATTCCATTGATGTTGGGACATACAACACAACTCCACAGCAGGCGAACTGCAACATTTAGAAAACAGATCCATCAAAAATCATATGATGCAGAGTTTCTGGAAGATTCTCTAATAATTTGCATAGGTCTGGAATCCCTAGGCAAGGCCTCTGCAAAACAAAGGCGATTAGTTATGAAAAGGTCTAGAGTCACTTTTCAGCTGTCAGCCACTGGCAGTTGTAAAATTAAACCCAGGAAGCAGTTCCAACTCTCAACTCTGCTATCTTTTTTGATTATTTAGATGCAGAAGAAGTTTAATGTGTTTCTAACAATAATAGATATTATGAAGAGTTGGACATGTGAATGCATCAGCTTTCCAAGAAAATCATTCAAACCTGTTTATATCTGAACAATACCTAAAAAAAAGACAATTATTTTAATTCATGGGAAAAACTGCCAATAAAATGTTTAATGGACTACTCCCTGAACAGTGGAGCATGTGTTACTTAACGTGAGAATACGGATGTAATTCAAATACTGATTACTATGATTTATTGTGACACAGTGTTAAGAATGTGTGCATCGTTCAGCGATGCCTCCATTTTAGTAGTAAATTTGATTTTCAGTTTCAATTTGCACTTGAGCTCTGACCTCCAGTAAAGGCCACTAATGCAAAAATGTAACACTGTTACGCTCTGATAATGCACAACTAAAAGCACTGCCTCAGGCATGTACCAATGCCCCCAAAATGACCAACAGCCAAACTTCGTCATTAACCAATCCATAGTTTTTCTTATAATTCTTCTGAACAGATACAAATTACAACACAATATTACAAATAAAGTCGATAGCCATGCATCTCCAAAAGGAAGAAAGCCTCATTGAGTAACCTCGATTTCTCACTGTCAGACTGCATGACAATTCCAGCTCCAAGAAATTTGTTTCATATGTGGCCTCCGTGAAAAACTGCTTGAGTGTTTGAGTGTCTCATGACTCAGAGCTATAACAGGAACTCCCAATTAAGATCACTGCCGAGTTATAATTACTATGCAACCTCATTAAACATCACTGAGCTGTGGTACTTGAAAGCATTTCAGACAAAACCTCTAAAAGCCCTTCTCAGAAGCTTGTTTCCAAATCGAAAGAATTGTGCTTCAGTGCACCACCATTACGAAGTCTTGAAGAATCTGTGAAATACGCTTTTATTGGTCTAACATTTGCAAAAAGTTCATAGCGTAATGGGCTGCATTGCACAACCTCTTAAAGAATGTAGTTCTGTTGGTTTACGGGAAAAGGAGGACCAAAACTTGCCTTCAGGTTTCTGTGTGAAACATTTCCCTCAAATAAAGGCTGGCTAGGCACTAAACAATTACAGTCTATTACAAAATAAAGCAAATAAACAGAAGGTATGAACTTCTAGGACTGAGCTCCCACATGTTGAGCTGTCATGCTTTTTGTTGACATTTATTTAGTTTTAGTTTTAGTACTTCAACAAACTAAATGAATATGAGAAATATTACCTTAATATTTATTTTATTTATTTTTATGGTTTTAATTTTCGTTAATGATAATAACCCTGGGTGTATGGATTAATTTCACACTTCTTTTGGTCCCTGCTAACTTTAATAATATGGACAAAATGGTTGAAACATTCTTCAAAATATCTTCTTTTATGTTCCACAAAAGTGTTATGAGTTTGGAATGATATGCAGGCGAGCCAATTTCATTTTTGGGTGAACTATTTAAGTATAAAGTGATGTTTGCCTTAGCAAGAATGAGTAATAAGATGTTAAATTACAAAAATGATTCTCATGAACTCACTGGACTGGATTACAAATAAACTGCTTATTAAACACAAAATATCACTGACGTTTAATGAGTTTGCCACCTCAGCTTTAATAAGGTTTTAAACAATCACTAGCACTTTGATGACAAATCCCAGATCTGAAGTTGATAACATGTCAGAAAATACAAACACACAGAGACTCTCTGAACAGAAGCCAAATAAAAGCTACCAAGATGTCTTTCCTTCTACAGTATTTTACAAATAATTTCAATCCTTTCTACAGTTTTACTGTAGTAAACAACAACAAGATGATTTATATTGTACACTGCAGTTTGAAAATGTAATAAATCAATAATGCATCACAACACATTAAATCAGCACTATTTCAGCATGTCCGACAAGAACTTTGTAGGCTGCAGGAACATATCACTAGCAAACCACCATCATCAAACATCAGCAACTTTCATATATTCATGAGTGATCTCTGATCTGTTTATACCCATAGAACAACTACTTACATTTGAGAGTCTCTCCAGCATATGGAATGTGAAGTTTAAATCTGTCACAGCATGGACCAGGCATTAGTGATGTGCAGCTAAAATGAAAAGGGGGGAAAAAAACCTTTCAATGACACTTCAATAGCTGAAAATTAGCAATAAATAAATCATTTAGCAAGGATGCATTCAATTGATTAAAAGTAACAGTAAAGACATTTGTAATGTTACAAAATATTTCTATATAATTTTTTTCCAAGCTATCTATTCATCAAAGAATCCTGAAAAATATATCATGGTTTCCACAAAAAGCAGAAAAACAGTTTTCAACATTAATAATAAGAACCATTATTAATAAATGAGCACCAATAATAATGAATAATATCACCAAATATTAGAGTGATTTATTAAGGATTATGTCACACAGAATGGCTAATATAATGTACAGTAATGGCTGCTGAACATTCAGCTTACATTTTTAAATATATTAAAAAAGAAAACAGTTCTTATAAATTGTAATAATATTTCACAAATAGTATAATTAATAATTGAATATATTTGAATAATTAAGACATCATAAAAAGGATTTGCAATCATCTTAAAGGCCCTGAACTGTAAAGCTCAGCTAAGGATGGAAAATTACAGTCATTCACCACATGACACCGTGCTGTAGTTGTTTTTAACATAAAGCTTTGATTTGATTTTAAGCTCCGCAATTTTTCTGCTGTTTTTGTTTGTTGTTCTGTGTTTACTGTTTAGACTAGTCATTCTTCTTCAATAAGTTTTAGCAGAGACAAACTCCTTAACATTAAGCAACACATCCCAGATAATATTTTTCCAGTCTTTCGATTATTCAGATGTTTTGTTGGACATTCGGAGTCAGAGGTGCTGTGGTGCTGGTTAAGCTCCGCGAGCGTAGCTTTCGAACTGCGCTCCCAAGTATTCATCTTGCAAATGTCCGTTGCCTTTTTATCAAAACTTCTTCTCCTCACCCCCATCAACAAGGACTTTTCAAACTCTGCTGCATTGTGCTTCACTGAAACATGGCTGAGTGAAGCCTAGTCTCAGCCTCAGAAGGCACGCCCACAGACCGTTGGCTGAACGTCTGACTCATATGGCACACAAAATTGGAAACCCTTCAGGAGTTTAGAAGTCGTCATCGGATTGGTTGAAATATACAGGATTTCCTCGTGTGTCTTGTTCTTTAAAGGGATAGTTCACCCAAAAATGAAAATTAGCCCATGATTTACTCACCCTCAGGGTATCCTAGGTATATCCGACATTCCTTTTTCAGACGAACACAATCGCAGTTATATTTTAAATTGTCCTGGCTCTTCCAAGCTGTATAATGGCAGTGAATGGTACCCCTGTTTTTGAAGCCTAAAAAACTGCATCCATCCATCATAAAACTACTCTACACAGCTTGGGGGTGCTAATAAAGGCCTTCTGAAGTGAAACGACGTGTTAGTGTAAGAAAAATATACATTTTTAAATATTTATTAGCTTTAATCTCCAGCTTCCGGTCGCTCAAGCAGGCACGTTCACGACAAGGCGTTCGAGCATATGACATAGGCGTAGCGGAAGGCGCGCTTCATCTGCCGGGCTTCCAGCTGTTCAGAGCGGATCGCATCGTGGAGTTAACAGCGAAAACGAGAGGTGGTGGATTGTGTTTCTTCATCAACGAAAGTTGGTGTTCAGATGTAACAATGCTGAAAAAGACATGCTGTCCTAATTTAGAGGCACTCTTCATAAACTGTAAACCTTTCTACTCGCCACGGGAGTTTTCCTCTTTCATTCTCGCAAATGTGTACATTCCTCCAGACGTGTGTGTGAGCACAGCACTGCAATAGCTGGCTGAACAAATAACTGAAATGGAGCAAAGGTACCCAGACTCTCTTTTAATCATTCTTGGAGATTTTAACAAAGCAAATCTTTCCCGTTCACTGCCAAAATACAGACAGCATGTTACATGTCCCACCAGAGACAGTAATATACAGGACCACTGTTACACCACAATAAAGGATGCATATCACTCTGTCCCACGGGCAGCTTTGGGGCTCTCTGATCACAGTCTAGTTCATCTCATACCAACCTACAGGCAGAAACTGAAATCAGCTAAACCTGTAGGACTGTTAAAAGATGGACTAATGAAGCAGAGCGGGATTTACAAGCCTGCTTCGACTGCACTGACTGGAGTGTTTTTGAGGCTGCAGTCACCAATCTGGATGAGCTCACAGATACTGTAACATCATATATCAGTTTCTGTGAAGATATGTGGATTCCTGCCATGACATTCCTATCATTAACTAATGAAAAACCATGGTTTACTGGGAAACTCAAACAGCTTTGTCATGCCAAGAGGATGATTACTGAAGTGGGGAAACAATCTTGTACAACCAGGCCAGAAACAGACTAACGAAGGAGTGGCTAAAAAAGCTACACTGAAAAGCTGAAAAAACTGTTTTCAGCCAACGACCCGGCATCAGTATGGACTGGTCTGAGGAACATCACCAAGTACAAGGCACCACCCCCGCAGTCTTTGGACAATCAATAACTGGCTGACGGTCTGAATATGTTTTACTGCCGGTTTGAAAAGCCCAGTCTCACACCCCACATCCACCTCTGATCTGCACTTCACACATTCACCTACCCCTCCTGCAACTCCCCTCCTTCCCTCCCTCACCAACCATTCAACCTGCGCTTAAGGTATGTGAACCAGGTCTTCAGAAAACAGAAGACTAAGAAAGCTTCAGGCCCAGACAGTGTTTCACCTGCCTGTTTAAAAACCTGTGCTGACCAACTGGCCCCCATCTTTACACAGATCTTCAACAGATCTCTGGAGCTGTGTGAAGTTCCCTGCTGCTTCAAATGCTCCACTATCATTCTAGTCCCCCCAAAAAAACCAAAATCACCTGGACTTAATGACTACAGACCTGTCACTCTCACGTCTGCAACATCTTGATAGACCTGGGACTTATGCAAGGATCTTGTTTGTAGAATTCAGTTCGACCTTCAAAACCATCATGCCTGACCTTCACTCAGACAAACTGACCCAGCTCTCCGTGCCCACCCCAATCTGTCAGTGGATCGCCAGCTTCCTGACAGACAGGCAGCAGCTAGTGAGGCAGGATAAACTCACATCCAAGACTCTCACAATCAGCACTGGCGCCCCTCAGGGATGTGTGCTCTCCCCACTGCTCTTCTCCCTGTATACGAACGAATGCACTGCAAAAGACCCCTCTGTCAAGCTCCTGAAATTTGCAGATGATACTATCATCATCGGCTTCATACACAATGGATGAGTCTGCTTACAGACCGGAGGTTAAAGAGCTGGCTGTCTGGTGCATTTACAACATCCTGGAGCTGAACACGCTCAAAACAGTGGAGATAATAGTGGACTTCAGGAGAAACCCCCCTGCACTCCTCCCACTCACCATCATGAACAGCACTGTAACAACAGTGGAGCCATTCAAGTTCCTGGGCACCACCATCTCTCAGGACCTGAAGTAGGACATTCACATAGACTCCATTGCTAAAAAGGCCCAGCAGAGGTTGTACTTCCTTCGCTAACTGAGGAAATTCAACCTGCCACAGGAGCTGGTAAAAACAGTTCTACTCGGCCATTGTTGAGTCCATCCTGTGTTCATCCATAACTTTATGGTTTGGTTCAGCTACCAAATCAGACATCAAGAGACTACAACAGACAGTCAGGACTGCTGAGAAGATTACTGGTTCCCCCCTGCCCAACCTACTACCTAATACTTTCATAACTATACATTGTCCATTATAACCTTGTTATAAATGCTTTTTCGCATTTGGCTCCCAAACTCTGGAATAGCCTTCCTGATAACGCTCGGGGTTCAGACACACTCTCTCGGTTTAAATCTAGATTAAAGACACATCTCTTTGGCCAGGCATTCAAATAATGCATCTCATAATCTTGTACTGCAGTTATATCTGATCAAATGCACATTATTATTCTTTAGCTTGGGTTAAACAACTCAATTTTGCTTGGTTGGAACAGCAGCTACGCTAATTATGTCTCTATTTGTTTCACTGTTTTTTTGCCAGGGGATTGACATCCCGTGGTAACTAAGATTTACACAAGCTTCAGTCTGGATCCAGAACACCTGAGAAGAGATGATGCCAACCCCTCAGAGGACCTCAGATGATGCTAAGCCTGAAACAACATACAGAACTACCAAATATTGCTATAAGTTTGATTGCATCATATAATAATTGCTGTTAATAGTGTTCATCGTCTGTTTGTTCCTTTACTTCCTAAAAGCACCAGTATGAACGTAATGTAAACTGAGACACTTCATTTTGAACTCTCAAAGTGCACCAGATAATTTTAAAATGTACAACATTTTCTTCCGGGGTGGCATGCCCCCAGAGCCATATAGAGTGCAACAGATGGGTTCCGGAAGTAAATGGCATTCATTTTCTCCATAGGGGAATTTTTTTTTTTTATTATTATGTCAGCATATATTCCTGTTGAAAAATTACATCATCCATGATTCTGCAAAAAATAACCTTCCATTAATTTAAAAAATAAATAAATACTGAAAAAAAAGAACATCCGCACACTCCCATGAAACACTGCGAATGACATAATTGAGCCAATCTCCCTAGGCTCTCAAACTACTTAACATTTCTATAGATATGCATATTTTGCAATAAACATGAAATATACACATAATCAACATCAGCAGTTTTATATTTATCCATCATTTTTATTTTATTCACGTTTGTGATGTGATTCACCAACAGGTTTGGTTCATGGTTTAGAATTTTATTTGTTTTTAAACGAGGACTTGACTTAATGAATGCATTCTTAATAGTTCCAGAACCAAGGCCACTGAAAAAGTGGGCAGGTGCTTTTGCATTCTGAAGAATCCAAGATCCACCATCTATACAGTCTCACTTTGTCATACAAATGCCTCATTTGTAATGGGTTTTATTGTTTTTGTCTCGTCACTCCGGCCGGGACACGGCATCAACAGTATGTAAGGGGCGTAACATTTCCGTCACACGCTTGGAGGTATTCGGCCAATCACAACGCACTGGATAGCTGGCCAATCACAGCACACCTCGCTTTTTCAGACCGATGAGCTTTGTAAAAATCGACGCGTTTCAAAAAGGCGGGGCATAGAGGAGAATCAATAATGTACAGTATGTGGAAAATAATGTGTTTTTTTAACCTTAAACCGCATAAACACATTTCATTACACCAAATACACAAAATAATGTTATTTTTAGCAACATCGTATGACCCCTTTAAAATAATTCCACTCAACACTGATGTCCTAACAGAGTAACCTCAACCAGTTCCACTAAGTGTCTATAAAAATCTTTCTCTTCATTTTGGACAGTATTTTTTATTATATTTATATCGCTATCTATATTATACTTTTATCATTTAAAACCTAAATAACGTGTTTTGGAAAACGTTAAGAGAAGTGTAACTTTATGTATGCTATCACAGTAATTAAGAGAAGGAGAAATAAACACAGAACGGGCTACGATGTCCTTGATTAAACTAATTAGTGGGATTTGCGCAGTATAAAATAAATAGAACTTGTTTATTCAAGAAAAGTAAATAAAAATAGTGAGTTCAGCTGTGCATAACAAAGCTCATAGAAAACATTATAAACACTGATATTTAACAATACTGTCAAGCAACTGCACTAACAAACAAAACTACCGCCGCTGAGCTTAACCATGTGCATGAATGAATAGAAGAATTTGTGTTTGTTGTGTAATTTGAAAATTATTTCGTTTGTTATTCAGTTTGTTTTGGAGCTGCTATGCTAACAGACCAACTAGCATGCTATTCCGGCATTATGAACGAGTCTTCGCCTAATGACGTTTCTTTTATTATCAAAGCAGTCATTTCGCTGAAATAATTTTTTGTAAGTAATAAACGCCTTTTCGGTACCTTTTAAATGAGATATAGCACAAATCTCGAGCATTAACTTATTCCCCACTTCCGCTGTTATTATTGAGACCTGTTTATGGATGTTTAGAAATATGCCTGATAATTTTACCACGGTCTTATGAAATTATTACGTGAATAATGCGTTAGTGTGGTCAGTAGTATACTATATTAGACAAGACTGAATTATCTACTTGATAATGTTATGTTTCGGCACGTTCTGAAAGCATATCTCATGTATTTAAAGACAGGAGAAAATAGGGACAGCTTTCAGTGCTGTCAAATAGACGTGAGAGCAGTGCCGCTTTGACTATTTAGATATCGCTTTACTCAGTGGACGAATATGTAAAGTGTAAACTGTTATAATGTACAAGTAGTCCTAAACGCTCATTAATTATACAGTTGAATGTGATATTGCATGAATTCTTGTGAATAAGGTGATTAATCAAGTCTATCCCACATTAGACGTAAAGTGTTGCAAAAATCTAGAAACATTTTAACATACTGCCTCTGATTGTAAATAAAATGCACGTGACCCCTCTAACAAGATTTTACTAGCCTAACTGGATATTATTGTTCCCAGCACTGCACATTTTCACTAATGACTTTAGTAGTAATTTGTCAGATTGTCCTCCAGGCCCACTTTCATAATTATTCTGACTGAATTTGGCGTATTACATCTTATTTACATGACAATGTATGCACTCCCTAGAAAACTATTTTAAAACTGCAGGCTGTAATAATAAATCTATACTTATAATAAATTACGAAATAGTTTCTCCAACATGTAACGGCCATGTTCGTTTTGTTCGTGCAGAGATGGTAATATCTATCAAAGGGTCATGCCCACACAGCAAAACACTTCAAGGGATTCAAACCATTTAAACTGATTTGAATCTAAGTATTCAGAAAATGTAGCCTGGACTTCAGTTATTTTGAGAAAATGTAGGCTGTTCCTTAGCCGCCCGCTGGCTTTTACAGTCCCCTGAGGCCTGCTGAGAGATTTGAGCAGATTAACACTATTCTATTCACATATGTTGCCTACATGCAAGGGATTGAATTAATGAAGGATTTCCATGGTTGTTGTCAATCACATGATCCAGTCCTGAAATAATCATCCAGTCATTCTTGAGAAGTGGGACAAAACAGGGTGCAAAATTGAAAAAATAAAACCTTGTACTCAGATAAATAAAACTACATTTATGTATCTTATATGTACTAAGCTACTGAGCTATGCTTTGATACAACCTCCCAACTTTTCTCTTTTTTAACAAAATGTGCTTTTTTTAGCTTGGACTGTGTAATATAATTTCAGCTTTATCTCTAACAGCATTCAAGATGTTTTTAACATTTCAAAACACATTCTCGTGTTAGCAGACAGATTACACGTTCACATGTGACCAACAATTCCTCAACAAATATAAAATATCATAATGAAATATTATCAAACTATTCAACTGACGGAGGTGACACATCTGACGGTGGTGACGAAAACCTGAATTTGTAGTCATTTTAACTATCAAATACATCGAATCAGTCAATTACTGTATTAAAACAAACA